ATTAAAATGCAATAAAAATTAAAATTTTAATAAAAAATGCTCAGAGCCCCATTTTCCTAGCAAACCTCCCATATTATCAAAAATATATTCTGAGAATTTTTTAATTTTTATTGCATTTTAATCTAATATTATCAAAAATTAAAAATTAAAAAATCAGAATCCAATTTTTCTAAATAAAATTAATTATATTATTATATTAAAAAATATTTTATATTATCATATTTATATGTATTTACTATTAAAATATTTATTTTTAAATTTTTTTAAAGTTTTTTTTCGATTTCATTTAACAATAATATATATTTTTAATGTAATTTATAGAATTATTAATTCAAGTAAATGACTAACATTAATCCTACATTATATATTACGTAAGTATATTATAAAGCAAAAAGCGTTTTAATTGCCTATAATTTGATTTAGTTTAACTATCTTTAATTATCTATATAAATTTATTATTATATCTAAATTTCCCTATTTTAGTCAATAACAGAAAACGCCCGATTTAAACAAGAGGATTATTTATAGTTGTGATTGCTATTTGTTTATAGTTAACTATTTGAGGACAAATAACAATGAATAAATGAGTAATCATTTCATTTTCTTGTTCACAAAAAAAAAATTTTTTATTGGGTAAAAAAAAATAATTGATATACCGTGATTTTCCTTTACAATGGTTCTGTATTTTACGTGGAAGTATTATTCATCGCAAACAGATGAACCAATAATAGTAGATACTCGAAAAAAATTGAACAAAGGAATTGAATTTATTATCTCAATTTTTATTTATTTAAAAATTTTCATAAATTTGGATTTATCTTTTCTCTACATGTATTTTGAAATTTTCATGCATATTTTATTTTACATGCTTATACTATAAACGATAATTTTTTTTTTTTTTTTTTTGCCTAACTAAATTGGATCATAATTTTTTAATGTTTTGATATTTATAAATTTTAAGAATTGTGGAGAGGGGATTATGTTACGCTATGTTATATATTTCACAGGTTATGAGATTGTGTATAAAGTAAAAACAGATCGGAAAAGAGAAAAAAAAAATAAGAAAAAAATAAGGGTAAAAGAAAATAAAAAAATACACCACTTTTTTTTTTTTTGGAAATCAATTTTTAAAATTTTTATAACTTTTTTTATATATATATAAATATATGATATTTTTTAAACCCAAATGTCCAAGTTTCAAAAAAAATAAAATAAAATCAAAGAAAAGAAGAGAAAAAAAAGAGAAAAATGTATATAACATAAAAAATGAAAAAGATATATATAACAATGTATTTAAGAAGAAAGTTTTTGAAAAGTTTTCAGAACAAAAATGTTGAAAACAACGTATGATCAATGATCACTGTTATTGTCCACAAACCAAATATCGTTATTTTCGTTTGAACTCGATTTCTTTTCATGGTTTTTACCACCATAATATTCCAACATGCTGATAATATCCATCAGACATCCTTGATCCAAATCTCTTGCGTTTAAAGAATATAAAATATCTAAATCATCTTTAGATCTTTTTAAAGATGCTTCGTAAAATTCAGGCGATTGATAAAGATAATCAGGTTGTATTAATTCAAGAACAGCGCGTTGTGGTGAAGAGATATCGTCAAAATGACCAAGGCGATACTTATGAAAAATCTTAGGAATACCGAAAGAATGGGAACTTAAATCTAAATATGGTCGAAATCGAGGCGATCCGGAAATAGAAGTGGGGTGATGTTCTATTATGCTGTTATCTTTCCAGTATGGATGAAACCCCTTTTCTGAAGTCAAGTTCTCTGAATAACTTTCCATAGAAGCTTCCACTTCCTCCTCCTCCACATCATCATCATCACCATCATCACCATCATCAACTTCTTCTTCGTCTATAAGCATATGTGTGGTTGAATCATGCTCGCCGAAGAACGGACGATGGAGATCATCATGAGATATTATAACATCATCCATAGAATTATCGCCTTCAGAGATTTGTTCTTCGTGAGAAATTTCTTCACAATCCATCTCACAACCGTGTTGGTCCTCATAAATTTGAGGGACATTGAATCGATCTATCGCATAAGATGATGAAGTTTGATGACTTTCAAGAGGTTTATTTACATAAACGAAGCCTCCTTCTTCTTCCTCATCGAGGCCGTCCAGACAGGCGTCAAGCCAGTCCTCTTCATTTTTTTTGATATCCTCTTCTGACCATTCCAAAGGTTCATGTTGCTCCGGGGAAACAAACTTTTTAAATACAAAGTTATTAAGCAACACCAATTTTCTCAACCCGTCGCTTTCGCCACGAGTTGTTTGAAAACTGTGAAGCTTATGTAGAGATATATTATAGACAGAATCTATATCGACGGTTGGTGCCATTATTTAAATTGTTTAAAAAAGTCTTTTAAGGTGGAGAAAAAAGGGTAAAAAATATATATTTTTTTTGGCTCAGATGTTAAGGAATTTTGTCTCTTTTATGTAATTAAGTGAAAATGAGTTGGTGGCACAGTAATAAAGCAAATATAATAATATAAATAATTATGCGAGGTAATATAATTAGAAGATATAAGTATAACGGTTGTCTGTTCCTAATTTGTAATTATTAAGGAAGTTAACTATGGATTTTCTTTTTTTCTTTTATATTAATAAATTTTTATAATTAGCTGCGGTTGAACTAGAAACAAGGGGCGTAGTAAGAGAGATTTGTGTGATAAGAAGAATTTTTTTTTCTAACAATGTTCTTTTTGATTTAGAGTTTTTTTTGTAAGTTAGTGTAAGATTATTATTTGTCTTCCTAAGAGACAATTTTTAATTCGAATTATTTCCGACGCTTCATGGTTACTGTAAGTGGTTAAATGTGCGCACTGTATATATATATATACAAAAGAAAAGAAAAGAATTTATAAGCAAAACATATTATTTGATTTTTTTTTAAAAAAAGCAGATTTAATTTATGTTTATTTATTTTTATTTATTTATTTTTTTTGTTTAAAAAAAGGTAACGTGGAATAAACAAGAATTGATGTAATATATATATATATATATATAAAATAACAATGGTTTTACTTTATTATCTGTGATGGGGGGATTATGTGTGTTCCTTATATCCTTGGAAATTCTCTCTTCTCTGTTCAAGAGGAAAAAAATAATATCCAAAAAAAAACCAAAATTTTCTGGTTACTCGGGGATAACTTAATATGATGGCATGGTTAATATAAATTTTCTGGGGGAAAAATTTAAGAAAAGTAAAGTGAAAAAAAATGAGGAAGGAAAGTTAAGAGAAAGCCAAACACTGGAGATTTGTTGTCCTTTTTATTATTTTTCCGCAGCCACAATTTAATATAAAAATAGTATAAATAGTACAATAAAAGCAAAGGATTGTACATAAAATTATTAAATAAGTGGGGGAATTGTAATATGAAACAATATAAATAAAACTATTTAGATCAAAAACCGGATATCTGTATGACGATAAAAAAAAGTGGAAGGAGTTCGAAAAATCAACGATATGCAAGTCCGTGAGTCAGATGTTGTTGTAATTTGTCATAATAAAGTTCTCACACTCCGTAGTCAATTGCTCGAGATTGGGTTGGGGGACGTTTCACTCAACAGCAATTATTCCGTTGTGTCATGTTTCGCTTTAAAAATTCCGAAATTCTCACACGCAATAACCGATATATTTTGTGAAATTCGAAAACATAAATATTGCGGAATTTTAGATCATTATTGTATAAAAATCATCATATTTATTCTGGGTGAGAAGGGAATTGCTAGATAATTCCTAAATCCGTTTAATGTTATGCGGATAACCGGCATCGCGTGTGACCACTAGGCGTATGTATTAAATGAACTAGTTACAGGACGGTCTAAACCTAAACCGTCTTAACCTAATTTCTATTTGCGTCATCAATATAAATCATTTCGTCATTAAATAAAGGGTTTTTTCTTTTGAGTAGCATTAAATAAGGAAACCACGTGCTCGCTCTTACTGCCACTAGTTAAGTTGCGGATAATTTTTAGATGTTTACCGTCAAATTTCCGGAATTTACAGCAAGCCCCGGCCCTCGGTTCCTTGACAAGCCACATGGATAAAGGTTTTTTATTTTTAAGGTTTAGAAGATACATAAGTTACAAAAGGATTTTTAGTGTTCTTTTTTTTGTTGTTGTTCTCATGACTAAATTATTAATGTTATCGTGCTGTTATTTGATTTGCAGATTTGCAAATGATGATTTTTATGCGCCCCAAGCCCAATGTTACGTTCGTTTACGTTCGTTAAAATGGAGATTTTTTTCCCAATCAGTACTCATACATGATGAACACTGATGATGAAATTTTTGTCACGAGAGCGTGTCATACATTAATACCAATAACCTACAATTAAATAAAGTCATTTGACTCGTAGATAAGGTGTTAGGTCATCACTCAATGTGTACCTTACCGGTTAATTTATTTTTTCGGGATTGGTATATTTTATTTGATTCTTGAACAAAATTATAAACCTGATTTATTCTAGCGAACAATGAGTTCCATTATGTATATCTCGCGACATTACTTCAGTTTGTCACACACTTTTTAACTCACGTGCCTACATATATCGAAAACTTTATTATCGATAAAGTTTTGTATTTGTAATAATAATATATTATAAAGTAATTTGTAAAAAAAAAATTATTTTAAATTTTTTAAATTTAACAAAGCCTCCCACATATACATATATATATTATATACATATATTGTACTATAGTCAGAGTTTGAACACAAATTTCCCAATTAATCCTTTAATTTATGAAGTTATTCCAATTTAGTTTATCAAAAATGCATCCTATTTGTTTCATAAAAATCTTGTTGTTAATCCTGTTCTTTCGGTTTTTATTTGGTAAATAAAAATAAACCATTCCAGTCTTCAATCTTGATTTATCAAAGTAAATGGTTTTGTTTTTGTACACGCTCCGCAGCAACAGCCCCTTTTTGGCGAAAAAATTTGGGTTTCACTGTTCATATTTTAAGAACATATGACGCACCAAGCTTGAAGGAATCCAAAAAAAAAAAAACGCCAATTAGTAAGGAAATGGAGATGATCAGTTTCTTGCATAATAATTTTACTTGTTGATAATGATTTTAGATAAGGTGGCTAAATTGATCATTCATATGTGTGACAAAAATTATTAATGTCAAAAATTGTGGGTGTTGGTCTGTGAATTTTTTAATTTAACAAAGCAAAAAAAGAAACAAAGTCAAATGAGTCAGTCAGTATGCAATAAGAAGTTTGCGGAGAAAGATTAGATTTTAGATGAACTTTTTTTTTTCAACATAATCTCGAACATAATAAGATATAATTTTTTGTAGATATGACAAAATGGTAGATTAACAAAGCGAAAGGAACAAATAACTTTTTGCACCGGTCATAAAATCCAATCCAATCATTCAGTTTAACCTTATATATCCATCATCAATGATATTTAACAAAACAAAAATGCAATTCAATTTTAATGTGAGAATTTTTTTTGCAAGGCATTTTTTCATTTGTATTCTTTGTTACATTTTTTTGTAGAAAATTAAAAATCTGGAACATTTTGTTGTAAATCCCCTGAATAATATTAAAATATAAATTTTTTTTTTTTTTGAAGAGAAATTTCAATTTTCATGTACCTTCTAAAATTTGATTTTCGGAGTTTTAACTTTAAAAAAAAAACGGAGTTTCGGAACCAACTTTATTTTTACCGGAATTATTTTTTTTTTGTGTCATGTTTTTAAGAAAAATTTCGGAAATGAGAGAATAAACCGGTGTGTGAGTTTATTAGTCACCTCAAGCAGTAAACGTTAATTCCTATCATTCTTATCGAAAAAAAAAATATTTTTTTTCGAATTCTTGAAAATCTATAATAATCATTTTTAATAAATTGGGGAGTAAAAAAATTATGGCATTGCCACACCATAATGATAAAGCAGCTGACCAAAATAAAAGATGAAATTTCATGTGCGAATTCCGAATATCATACTATCTTATCTAGGCAAAAAAAAATTTTCTAATAAAATATTCTTGTCTTTTTTCAAAATGGTTTTTGGTTGATAAACAATGGAATAGATAATTGGAACAATTTTAAATTTATCATAATTGTTGAAAACGTTTTTCGAAACCTTTTTTTAAACTAAAATAATACGATACGATTTGTGATTGTTGAATATCTTTACAAAAAAAAAAATAAAAAAAAAATGTCAGATAAAAAATTATTAGTTAAATTCATGATAACTAATTGGCACGTATTTCAAAAAAAAAAAAATTTTTATCCTTAATTAAGAAACTCAAATACCGAATATATTTAAAACGTTCGTCCTTTCCATTGACAGAAACAAGGAGGTTTATTTGTTAATTAGTAAACAAAAAATTTTCCGATATGATAGATTATGGGCAAAAAAAAAAAGGAATTGTGAAACAGATTTGGCAAATTCATTACATCATTAAAAGTTAGTTATCTTCTGAATCACGAATTTTCGAATTAATTTCTTCATTTTTTACATAATACTTTAATTTATTCTACAAATAATATAAATATTTATCTACCACATATTAGTTTTTTATTAACAGCAATCCTTCCGAAAAGATTACGTAACATGTATCGCAAAAAAAAGGAATTGTCATATGACGTTATCGAAATATCACATATCAAGTGCTTTGATGGTATCATTGTCATAAGAAAATGTTATATATGTGATTAATGATTTGTAATAAATTAATTTTATTGTAAACGACGAAACGCGTCATAAAAATGAAATTCTTAATAAATAGAAATCATTTAAACTATTCAAATAGCAAATTGGCTTAGTATTGTTACATAAGCATTTCGAAATAAAATTTTCTTGCCAGTAATCCGGCATCATAGAAATCATAGAAACATGGCCATATGAAATAAGGAGACAAATAGGATTCATCATATCGAAAATTTTCAATACATTTACATAGTAAAAATGGAAAAAAATATGAAGGACGTAAAGGTGAAAATTTTGTGATAACCACTATATATAGAAATGTTTGGTTATTTTACATTGATTTAATAAAAATGTAAAAATCAATATTCTTTCTTTTATTTTTGTTTTAAAAATTTTGAATTTGTATTTTTATAATATTTTATTTAAAAAAAATAAAAAAATATAATTATTTTTTTTTATTAAAATTTGATCGGTAAAAATGAATCAATAATCATAGAAAAATGAAAAATCACAAAATTTTCACTCTTATGTAATCATAATAAAAATATTTGTTATCCTATAAGATCCTTCATTTTTATTTTGAATTTTTTAATATTAAAATGCTAACTAAAATATTACACATAATAAAAATTTGGAATAATACTAAAATAAATTAAAAATTATAATATAT